GAATAATGAACCATTGTAGTGAAAATCCACAATACAAATAATAAAGAAAAATGAATTTGGAGAGTTTGAAGGAGTTGTTTAGATTTGATGATGTAACGATCAAAGACAAGGAAAATTAATCAAAGTTGAATTATTATTTATTATTATGTGAGCAGTAATTTAGTCAAAGTTTAACTATTTAATAAATAGTTTATTTTGGAACTTGGATGAAAGCTGCTATTTAATTTGACTAGATTATTTATTTGCACTGCAAGCAAGGTAAATTATATTTATCAAGTTGTATCAGCTTAAAGTATTTAAACAGACAGCGAGAAGCTTGCTGGATCGATTCGTGGCTGGGTAGAGTTTACATGTTCTCTCTGTGCATGTGTGGGTTTTCTCTGGGTACTCTGGTTTCCTCCCACGGACCAAAAACATGACTGTTAGGTTAACTGGTAACTCTAAATTGTCCCTATAGTGAATGGTTGTTTGTCTCATTTGTCTCTATGTGTGTCTCTGTGATGGACTTGTGACCTGTCCAGGGTATACCCCGCCCCTCGCACTGTGACTGCTGGATATGGACACTAGTGACCCTGAAAGGAAGAAGTGGGTTAAAACAATGGATGATATTGCTTGATGTCAATAACACCCAGGTGAAGGAATGCCCATGTTTGTCCATGGTGCAGCTGGACAGGTTGTGCTGCTCAGACCCTGGAGTCCATCAAGGGTCAACTGAGGTCAAAAGCGTTCTGAAGGTCTCACCGAGGGGGTCTACTGATGAAGACAAATGCTAGCTGCTCCATTCCAAGACGTCAAGTAAGTTTTGCACTGAAAAAGGTTTTATCTTCTGTCGTCAATTGTTTCTCTTTTTCAACCTGGCTTTAACAAAATAAATTCTGCAAAAACTTGTTTTCTTTGTTCAGATGTGACAAACAAAAAACACATCAGGACTGAGACTAAAAGAAATGAGTAAGCGTTTGTCAAAAGTGTAAATGATTCCGTGTCCGAGGAGAGTTAATCTGCAGGAAACATCTCATATAATTTAGGTCAGAAAGAACTTTAATTGAAACTTGTTCAGTTCAGTTAGAAGACCTCAGGTTTGGAGGTCACAGTCAGGAGAGAACAACTTCTTGCTACATTTACAAAACGTATTTTGTCACATTCATTTTGATGAAAACTCAAATACTCAACCAGGTGAAAAGAATGTCCACAACAACAAAATGTCACAATCACAGAGAACACTTTCAGTCAGGTTACCTTTACAATCGTCTCTCAGTTTTTAACCATTTGAGCACAAAATCAATGTTTAACAAAATAAAAAGACTGTAAAACAACTGGAGAAAATCAAGTAAAAATGGCTCCATTGTTGTTTTAGTTTCCAAGGTACAGAGTGAAAGTCAGTGTGTGTGTGTGTGTGTGTGTGTGTGTGTGTGTGTGTGTGTGTGTGTGTGTGTGTGTGTGTGTGTGT